AATTGGAAATCCAAAAAGTACAAAGTCGAGAAATCGAAAAATCCAGAACGTGAAAAATCCAAAAGTCGAAATACTAAAAAATCCCAAAATTGAAAAATTGAAGAATCGAAAAACTGAGAAAACTCACAAAATTGAATGAAAAATCGAAAAATTGCAAAATCTGGAGACTGAAAAATCGAAAAATTGAGGAACTGAAAAACTGAAAAATCGAAACCTTCGCAAGTCGAAAACGGGAAAACCAAAAAATAAATTAATTGAGAAATCGGAAAACTGAAAATTCAGAAACGTCAAAACTTTGAAAACTCGAGAAATCGAAAAACTTGAAATTTTAAAAATTGAAAATTTAAAATATCGAAAAGTTGAAAGATTGTGAAAATCGAAAGTTCGAAAAACGAAAAATTGTAAACCCAAAAAGTAAAAAGTCGAGAAATCGAAAAATCCAGAACGCGAAAAATCCAAAAGTCGAAATACTAAAAAATCCCAAAATTGAAAAATTGAAGAATCGAAAAACAGAAAACTCACAAAATTGAACGAAAAATCGAAAAATTGAAAAATCTGGAGACTGAAAAATCGAAAATTTGAGGAACTGAAAAACTGAAAAATCTAAATCTTCGCAAGTCGAAAACGGGAAAACCAAAAAATAAATTAATTGAGAAATCGGAAAACTGAAAATTCAGAAACGTCAAAACTTTGAAAACTCGAGGAATCGAAAAACTTAAAATTTTAAAAATTGAAAATTTAAAATATCGAAAAGTTGAAAGATTGTGAAAACCGAAAGTTCAAAAAACGAAAAATTGGAAATCCAAAAAGTAAAAAGTCGAGAAATCGAAAAATCCAGAACGTGAAAAATCCAAAAGTCGAAATACTAAAAAATCCCAAAATTGAAAAGTTGAAGAATCGAAAAACTGAGAAAACACAAAATTGAACGTAAAATCGAAAAATTGTAAAATCTGGAGACTGAAAAATCGAAAAATTGAGGAACTGAAAAACTGAAAAATCGAAACCTTCGCAAGTCTAAAACGGGAAAACCAAAAAATAAATTAATTGAGAAATCGGAAAACTGAAAATTCAGAAACGTCAAAACTTTGAAAACGCGAGAAATCGAAAAACTTAAAATTTTAAAAATTGAAAATTTAAAATATCGAAAAGTTGAAAGATTGTGAAAACCGAAAGTTCAAAAAATGAAAAATTGGAAATCCAAAAAGTAAAAAGTCGAGAAATCGAAAAATCCAGAACGTGAAAAATCCAAAAGTCGAAATACTAAAAAATCCCAAAATTGAAAAACTGAAGAATCGAAAAACTGAGAAAACTCACAAAATTGAAAAATCTGGAGACTGAAAAATCGAAAAATTGAGGAACTGAAAAACTGAAAAATCGAAACCTTCGCAAATCGAAACCGGGAAAACCAAAAAATAAATTAATTGAGAAATCGGAAAACTGAAAATTCAGAAACGTCAAAACTTTGAAAACTCGAGAAATCGAAAAACCTAAAATTTTAAAAATTGAAAATTTAAAATATCGAAAAGTTGAAAGATTGTGAAAACCGAAAGTTCAAAAAACGAAAAATTGGAAATCCAAAAAGTAAAAAGTCGAGAAATCGAAAAATCCAGAACGTGAAAAATCCAAAAGTCGAAATACTAAAAAATCCCAAAACTGAAAAATTGAAGAATCGAAAAACTGAGAAAACTCACAAAATTGAACGGAAAATCGAAAAATTGAAAAATCTGGAGACTGAAAAATCGAAAAATTGAGGAACTGAAAAACTGAAAAATCTAAACCTTCGCAAGTCGAAAACGGGAAAACCAAAAAATAAATTAATTGAGAAATCGGAAAACTGAAAATTCAGAAACGTCAAAACTTTGAAAACTCGAGAAATCGAAAAACTTAAAATTTTAAAAATTGAAAATTTAAAATATCGAAAAGTTGAAAGATTGTGAAAACCGAAAGTTCAAAAAACGAAAAATTGGAAATCCTAAAAGTTAAAGTCGAGAAATCGAAAAATCCAGAACGTGAAAAATCCAAAAGTCGAAATACTAAAAAATCCCAAAATTGAAAAATTGAACAATCAAAAAACTGAGAAAACTCACAAAATTGAACGAAAAATTGAAAAATCGAAACCTTCGCAAGTCGAAAACGGGAAAACCAAAAAATAAATTAATTGAGAAATCGGAAAACTGAAAATTCAGAAACGTCAAAACTTGGAAAACTCGAGAAATCGAAAAACTTAAAATTTTAAAAATTGAAAATTTAAAACATGGAAAAGTTGAAAGATTGTGAAAACCGAAAGTTCAAAAAACGAAAAATTGGAAATCCAAAAAGTAAAAAGTCGAGAAACCGAAAAATCCAGAACGTGAAAAATCCAAAAGTCGAAATACTAAAAAATACCAAAACTGAAGAATCGAAAAACTGAGAAAACTCACAAAATTGAACGAAAAATCGAAAAATTGAAAAATCTGGAGACTGAAAAATCGAAAAATTGGGGAACTGAAAAACTGAAAAATCGAAACCTTCGCAAGTCGAAAACGGGAAAACCAAAAAATAAATTAATTGAGAAATCTGAAAACTGAAAATTCAGAAACGTCAAAACTTGAAAATTTAAAAAATTGGAAAATTAAAAAATCGGAAAATTCAAAAATCGAAAAGCCGAAAAGTAAAAAAACGAAAAACGAATAAATCGAAAAATTCAAAAACTGAGACAATCAAAACATCGAAACATCCGAATCTCGATAAATCGAGTTCTCAAAAAATTGAAAACTCGAAAAATTCACAAATCGAAATGTATATAAAACAGTCGAAAATTGAAAAATCTAAATTTAAAAAAACGAAAACTGAAGAATTGAAGAACTGAAAAATCGAAACTGCGAATTCGAGCAGCGGTAAAATAAAAAATATATATATATATTAAACGAAAAATCGGAAAACTGAAAATTTAGCAACGTCAAAATTTGAAAAATTGTAAAATAGAAATACTGAAGAACTGGAAAATCCAGAATTCGAAAAATCTAGAATTTAAAACATTGAACAATTGAAATATCGCAAAATTGAAAAATGGAGAAATCCAAACATCAAAGAATCAAAAAAGAAAAATTCGAAAATCTAAAACTTAAAAATCGAAAAACTGAAAAATCGACAAATCGGAACTCCAGAATTTAAAAAAATTGAAATATCGAAAAATTGGAAAATCGAAAAACCGAGAAATCCAAAAATCGAAACATCGAGAAATAGAAAAAAATTGAAAAATTTTAAAAAAGAAAAATTAAAACATCGAAAATTTGAAAAAAAAATGAAAATCCCAAAAATTAAAAAAGGGGTGGAAACCCAAAAACTGCAAACTGAAAAATTTTAAGTTGGAAAATCGACGAATTGGAACCGATTGGCCAGAGAATTTGAAAAATTGAATAAACGAAAAATTGGAAAATCGAAAGAAACAACAAAAATTAAGGAAATGAAAAAAACAAAAAATTGTGATATAAAATCGAGAAAATGAAAAATAAAAAGTCGGGAAAATGCAAAATAAAAATCGGGGAGTTGAAAAATTGAGGGGACCGAAAATTGAAAAAGGGTACAATTAAAAATCGAAAATGTGAAAAATGGAAAAATGAGAAATTGTAATATTGAAAAATTGGAAAATTTGAAAAGTCGACAAATTGTAAAATTGAAAAATGTACAAAGTGAAAATCAAACTTCAAAATTTGAAGAAAAATTGCTAAAAACCTGAAAATTTGAAAATTTTAATAAAGGAAAAATTGTAAAATCGAAAGAAACAACAAAGAATAAAGGAAATCAAAAAAAGGAAAATTGTGATATAAAATCGAAAAAATGAAAATTAAAAAATCGGGAAAATGAGAAATAAAAATCGGAAACAAAAAATTGGAAAAGGGAAAAATGAAAAATTGAAAAACTGATGCAAACTGAAAAATTGAAGGAACGAAAAATTGAAAATTTTGGAAGTCGAGAAATTGTAAAATTGAAAAATCGAAAATAAAAAACGAAAAATTACAAAATGAAAACATGAAAAATCTTAAGCATCGAAAAAGTGAAAAATAAAAAAAAAGAAATATGTATTATGAAATAGAAATATTTAAAATTAAAGAAATTGGAAAATCGGAAGACTGGAAATCCAAAAACTGCAAAGTGAAAAATTTTAAAATTGGAAAATCGAAAAAAAAAAAACAGAAAATACAAGAAATGAAGAAACGGATAATTGTAATATAAATCGAGAAAATAAAAATGAAAAATTCGCCACACTGAAAAATTAAAATCTGGAACATGAAAAATTGTGGAAACGAAAAATTGAAAAATCGAAAGAAACAAAAAAAATAAAGGAATTGAAAAAATGAAAATTTGCGACATAAAATCGAGAAAATGAAAATTAAAAAAATCGGGAAAATGAAAAATAAAAATCTAAAACTTGAAAAAGACAAAAATTAAAAGAAGAAATTGTAAAATTGAAAAATCAAAAATAAAAAAACGAAAAAGATTATGATGAAAACTTGAAAAATGTCAAAAGTGAAAATCAAACATGAAAATTTGAAGAAACGAAAATTTGAAAAATCGAAAGATTAAAAATTGAAAAACTTAAAATTCGAAAAAGTGAAAAATAAAAAAAAAGAAATATATAAGACTGGAAATCCAAAAACTGCAAATTGAGACCTTTTAAACGTGGAAAATCATGGAATTGAAAAATGAAAGAAACAACAAAAAAATAAAGGACATAAAGAAACCAAAAATTGTGTTAATTCTAAATAACTTTAGACCAATTTTTATAATTCAACAATTTACATTGAGTATCAAAAATAAAACACCGATAGCTTTCGAATAATTTTGAATGTGTTGTGCTGATTTTTTTTAATTCCACCAATATTTTCTATTTTGACAAAATGACGAAAGAATCGAAACTTGGAGAGTTATACAAAACGAGTAAAATTTGAAGCCTCTTTTGTCAGGGTAGGTATTTTATGGCCTTATGGAGGTCACTCAGAGGAAATGAACAAATTCAATTAATCTTTGTCTTTTAATGAAAAACAACAACAAAATCCAGACATTCGTATCCATACAGACTTTATACAAGCTTCATAAATAATGTACATGGTATTCGCAACTAAATTTTTATTACCTCATCCAAATATCATCCATGGCTTTATCCGATAAATACTTTTCGGGTAACACTTTTATAGTCTTCATTGTCTGTAAGTAAAATATTATTTCGGTAGTGACGACTCCGTGCTGGGGACCGCCGTTATTCTGGATATTCATTTTGACGAGTTGTTCCCGGAGGCGACTTTTGAAATTCTTGTGGATGATCTCGTAGATGTCGGTCACCTAAAGACAACGAAAAATTTCCGAATTGAACCAGAAGCCCCACTATATAGCTACCTGTTCCTCGGGAAGCACCGAGCTCACTGCTTCGTGCAGCTTCGTCAGATGCCTCGACACATTCCGGAACGCCTTCGACGGAACCGGCGGTTTCGCGTCCCACTCGTTCAACTGATCCCCCAGGAGCGAATTCATAATCGAGAGCACTTTAGTCTCCAGCTGCTGGATGTGGTGCCCGATATCCCTCTCCACCCCATCGAACCCCCCCAACGGATCGCTCGTCAAGCCATTAAAGTGCGCCCGAATATGCGGTATCATCCACAGCACCACCTGCAGCGACCTCGACGTCAGCGCCAGGTTCGTCGTGGTGATCGTCTTCAGCCCGGCCGTCTTCAACGCGCCCGCACCCAGCACCAACTGGCAACTCCTCGAGTTGAACGTTCTCAACAGTTCCGTCAAGTTCCGGCCCACGATGGGCGCCAGCCACTGCAAGTTATGCGCGCACACACAGTACTCGCACACCAGCTGGACGAGGATGAGCACCGTCCCCACGGCGGTGTACTCCTGGCTGCCGATCCTGAGGTACGGCGCCGGTTTTTTCAGCTTCTCGTCGACGGTGGTTTCCTCCGACGGGGAGCTGGGGAGGGAGCGCACGTCGCCGACGGCGAGCTTGTCGACCAGGAGCTGGATCTCCTGAGGCACTTCGGCGACCTTCCAGCGCTCGGCGTCCAGCAGCATGGTGAGTTTGTTCTTGCGCTGGCTGTGGAACTTGTTTACGTAGTTGCCGGCTTGGATTTTGAAGGCGGCGCGGAGGGCGGCGCTCTGGCGGCCGCAGATCTTCTCGCAGAGTTCGGTGAAGCTGTCGACGATGGCGGAGAGTTCGGTGATCTGGGTCGCGGTGATGGTTTGCTTGTCGGATTGGGTGCTCACGAGGGAGGCGAGTCGCTCGTGGCAGTAATCACAGATGGAGATTAGTAAGTCTTTGAGTTTCACTTCGACGCGGTTGTGGTCTTCGAGGGAGAGGAAACGCTCGGTGTCGCGCAGGGGGGGAGACGACCTGAGGCCGGCGCTGGTGTCGGCGGTGGCTTTGATTACGTCGTGGACGGCTTTCACACGCTGGACTAGTTTACCTGGGGGAAGGTGGAGGTGAGTGGTGGAAAGCGAAACGGGAAAATCGAGTGTGTTGTTATATACATAGACAGATAATTTGCGGTGTGGAAAATTGAAACACGTATAAGATATATTGTGTGTTGATGTTTGTTCCCGGTAGCAAGTTTTTAACTTCCAAAAATTAAGACTGACAAAACAAAACAACAAGTATCAGTTTTAAAATTAAAAACCTACTACAGTGTAACAACAAATAATTATAAAAATTAAAAGCACAACACCTCCTATAAATGTGCTTACGATGTCGCTGCTGTGTGCTGCGAGTACAGGACACGACGCAACCCAAAGTCATGTTGTATTTTATTTAAAATATTTCTTTCTCTCTAGAACTGAAAATGTACAAATTTAAATACTCAGCAATGTAAATAAGCTTCTTTAAGTTTTATTACTGTGTTTAACGTCAATTTTTTAAAATATCCGAAAAATTGCCATACTTTCAAAAATTCTATTGATGAGCTGAATTGAAAAATTGGTCTTGGATGAAGGTTTTCGAAATATTCGCTTTCAAAGTCAACTTCCTGAAGCATCTTAAAAATTTTGCTGTAGAAAATGACAAAAAAACTTCTGGTGATCAAAATAAACCCAAGAATCTGTTTTGATAATTTTTGGAAGATGGTCGGGAAAACGTCAAAAATTTCCAATGGAATTAAGTTCGATTTATAAACTTGTCGCTGACGTTGCTGTTCGCCATTGATTGTAAGTTCTGTAAGTACTTATGTATTGTTAAAGATAGTGGACAACAAAAAAGGCAAAACACTTTTAAACTGGGACATTTTTGTAGGAAAGTATAGATTTTGCAATTAGACTCCGCCCCTCGGTGTGGCAACGAATGAAAAATTCATCACAATTGCGCTTGGGATGGATATGGGTGGGGCTTAATTTGTGGCTTGTTTTTCTCTTAACATACATAGTATTCTTTGAACAACACGACACTGAAAAACATGCTTTTTATTTCATGTAACGCAATAAGGAATTAGCAATTAAGCCTCGCCCTCTTGGCTCATGACGAAAAAAAAAATCATCACAATTGAGACAGGGCGGGTGGGCGGGGCTTACATTTTGCCTTTTTTTTCTTAACATGTGTAGTCATTTTTTCACAACAAGAAACTTACAACATGTTTAAAATGGTAAATTTATTTAGGCAAATATGGATTTTGAAATTACGCTCCGCTCCTCAGTAATTTCACATAGTAATTTTTCGTAGAACAACAAGGAATTCAGCATTAATCTCCGCCCCTCGGCTTACAACAAATAACAAAATCATCAGAATTGAGACAGGACGGGTGGGCGGGACTCTTGCCTTTCTTTCTAAATATACGAATACACAGCCATCTTTTCACAACAAAAAACTTAAAACATGGTTAAAATGGTACATTTTTCTAAAGGAATATAGATTTTGCAATTATGGGACGGAGCCCAATTGCAAAATCGATATTTCCTAATACAAATTTTCCATTTTAGACATGTTCAAAGTTTCTTGTTGTGAAAAAAAGTCTGCACATATTAAAATAAAAACGCAAAATATATGCCCGCCCACCCACCCTGTCTTCATTGTGATGATTTTTTTAATTCGCCGTGAACCAAGGGGGCAAAGCATAACTGCAAAATACTTATTTCTTTACAATTATTTTGCATTTTTTCTTAATATACGTAATCGTTTTTTCAGAACAAGAAACTTAAAACTTGCTTAAAATGGTAAATTTTTATAGGTAAATATGGATCTTGCAATTAAGCCCCGCCCTTCGATCTGAGAACGAATGAAAAATTCATCACAATTGCGAATTAATATGAGGAGGTATGGGTGGGGCCTAATCTTTGGCATTATTTTTTTCTTAATATACATAATTACATAGTATTTTTTGTGCAGTAAAGCTCCATCCCCATGGCTCACGACGAATAAAGCAAAGTCATCACAATTGAAATAGGGTGGGTGGGCGGGGCTTACATTTTTTCTTTTTTTTTCCTTAATATACATACATTTTTTGCAGGGAAATAAGGTTTTTGTAATTAAGCTTCACCCCTAGGCTCACGACGAATAAAAAAAAAATCATCAGAATCGAGATAGGGTGGGTGGGCGGGGCTTATATTCTGCCTCTTTTTTCTTAACATACATAGCCATCTTTTCACAACAAGAAACTTAGAACATGGTCAAAATGCTACATTTTTGCAAGTAAATATGGATTTTGCAATTATGGGGCGGAGCCTAATGCAAAATTGAGATTTCCTTGTACAAATTTTCCATTTTAAAGATGTTTGAAGTTTCATGTTGTGAAAAGAAGTCTACAAATATTAAAACCAAGAGGCAAAATGTAAGCCCGCCCACCCGTCCTGTCTCTATTGTGATTATTTTTTTTATTCGCCGTGAATCAAGAGGGCAAAGATTAACTGCAAAATACTTATTTCTTTACAAGAAATTAAAAACATGTTTTTGAGTATCGTGTAACTCAAAAAATACCATGTACATTAAGAAAAAAAAAAGGCAAAATATAAACCCCGCCCACCCACCCCATCTCAATTGTGATGATTTTTTAATTGTTAGAAACTTGAAACACGTTTAAAATGGTAATTTTTGTAAGGAAATATGGATTTTGCAATTAGGCTCCGCCCCTAGGTCTGCCAACGAATGAAAACTTCATCAATACTTAGATCAGGGCAGGTATGGGTGGGGCTTTAATTTTTTTATATTATACATGGTATTCTTTGAATAACACGATACTCAAAAACATGTGTTTTTTAATTTCTCGTAGAGAAATACGGATTTTGCAGTTAAGCTCCGCCTGTTTGGCTCACGACGAATAAAGAAAAATCATCACAATTGAGACAGGGTGGGTGGGCGGGGCTTATATTTTGCCTTTTTTTTCTTAATATACATACATTTTTTGCAGGGAAATAAGGTTTTGTAATTAAGCTCCGCCCTTCGGCTCACAACGAATAAAAAAAAATCATCAGAATCGAGATAGGGTGGGTGGGCGGGGCTTATATTCTGTCTCTTTTTTCTTAACATACATAGCCATCTTTTCACAACAAGAAACTTAGAACATGGTCAAAATGGTACATTTTTGCAAGTAAATATGGATTTTGCAATTATGAGGCGGAGGCTAATTGCAAAATTGATGTTTCTTTATACAAATTTTCCATTTTAAAAATGTGTTAAGTTTCATGTTGTGAAAAAAATCTGCACATATATTAAAACAAAAAGACAAAATATAAGCCCGCCCACCCGCCCTGTCTCTATTGTGATTATTTTTTTTATTCGCCGTGAATCAAGAGGGCAAAGATTAACTGCAAAATACTTATTTCTTTACAAGAAATTAAAAACATGTTTTTGAGTATCGTGTAACTCAAAAAATACCATGTGCATTAAGAAAAAAAAAAGGCAAAATATACCCCCAGCCCATCCACCCCATCTTAATTGTGAAGATTTTTTTAATTCTTAGAAACTCGAAACAGGTTTAAAATGGTAATTTTTGTAAGGAAATATGGATTTTGCAATTAGGCTCCGCCCCTAGGTCTGCCAACGAACGAAAACTTCATCAATACTTAGATCAGGGCAGGTATGGGTGGGGCTTTAATTTTTTTTTATTATACATGGTATTCTTTGAATAACACGATACTCAAAAACATGTGTTTTTTAATTTCTCGTAGAGAAATACGGATTTTGCAGTTAAGCTCCGCCTGTTTGGCTCACGACGAATAAAGAAAAATCATCACAATTGAGACAGGGTGGGTGGGCGGGGCTTATATTTTTCCTTTTTTTTTTTCTTAATATACATACATTTTTTGCAGGGAAATAAGGTTTTTGCAATTAAGCTCCGCCCCTCAGCTCACGACGAATAAAAAAAATCATCAGAATCGAGACAGGGTGGGTGGGCGGGGCTTATATTCTGCCTCTTTTTTCTTAACATACATAGCCATCTTTTCATAACAAGAAACTTAAAACATGGTCAAAATTGTAGATTTTTGCAAGTAAATATGGATTTTGCAATTATGAGGCGGAGGCTAATTGCAAAATTGATGTTTCTTTATACAAATTTTCCATTTTAAACATGTGTTAAGTTTCATGTTGTGAAAAAAGTCTGCACATATATTAAAACAAAAAGACAAAATATAAGCCCGCCCACCCGCCCTGTCTCTATTGTGATTATTTTTTTTATTCGCCGTGAATCAAGAGGGCAAAGATTAACTGCAAAATACTTATTTCTTTACAAGAAATTAAAAACATGTTTTTGAGTATCGCGTAACTCAAAAAATACCATGTACATTAAGAAAAAAAAAAAAGGCAAAATATAAACCCCGCCCACCCACCCCATCTCAATTGTGATGATTTTTTTATTGTTAGAAACTTGAAATATGTACGTTTAAAATGGTAATTTTTGTAAGGAAATATGGATTTTGCAATTAGGCTCCGCCCCTAGGTCTGCCAACGAATGAAAACTTCATCAATACTTAGATCAGGGCAGGTATGGGTGGGGCTTTAATTTTTTCTTAATATACATGGTATTCTTTGAATAACGTGATACTCAAAAACATGTGTTTTTTACTTTTTCGTAGAGAAATAAGGATTTTGCAGTTAAGCTCCGCCTGTTTGGCTCACGACGAATAAAGAAAACTCATCACAATTGAGATAGGGTGGGTGGGCGGGGCTTATATTTTTCCTTTTTTTTTTCTTAATATACATACATTTTTTGCAGGGAAATAAGGTTTTTGCAATTAAGCTCCGCCCCTCAGCTCACGACGAATAAAAAAAATCATCAGAATCGAGATAGGGTGGGTGGGCGGGGCTTATATTCTGCCTCTTTTTTCTTAACATACATAGCCATCTTTTCATAACAAGAAACTTAAAACATGGTCAAAATTGTAGATTTTTGCAAGTAAATATTGATTTTGCAATTATGAGGCGGAGGCTAATTGCAAAATTGATGTTTCTTTATACAAATTTTCCATTTTAAAGATCTTTGAAGTTTCATATTGTGAAAAGAAGTCTACACATATTAAAACAAAAAGACAAAATGTAAGCCCGCCCACCCGCCCTGTCTCACTTGTGATGATTTTTTTTTTATTCGCCGTGAATGAAGGGGGCAGAGCTTAACTGCAAAATACTTATTTCTTTACAAGAAATTAAAAACATGTTTTTGAGTAGGTATCGTATTGTTCAAAGAATTCTATGTATATTAAGAAAAAAAGCAAAATATAAACCCCGCCCACCCACCCCATCTCAATTGTAATGATTTTTTTATTCTTAGAAACTTGACTCACGTTTAAAATGGTAATTACTGTAAGGAAATATAGATTTAGCAATTAGGCTCCGCCCCTAGGTCTTCCAACGAATGAAAACTTCATCACTACTTAGATCAGGGCAGGTATTGGTGACCCTTTACTTTTTTCTTAATATACATGGTATTCTTTGAATAACACGATACTCAAAAACAAGTGTTTTTTAATTTCTCGTAGAGAAATAAGGATTTTGCAGTAAAGCTCCGCCTTCTGGGCTCACAACGAATAAAAAAAAAATCATCCCAATTGAGATAGGGTGGGTGGGCGGGGCCTTAATTTTTTCTTAATATACATACATGGTATTCTTTGAATAACACGATACTCAAAAACATGTATTTTTAATTTTTCGTAGAGAAATACGGATTTTGCAGTTAAGCTCCGCCTGTTTGACTCACGACGAATAAAGAAAAATCATCACAATTGAGACACGGCGGGTGGGTGGGGCTTATATTTTGCCTTTTTTTTTATAAATAAACATATATTTTTTGCAGGGAAATAAGGTTTTTGTAATTAAGCTCCACCCCTCGGCTCACGACAAATAAAAAAAATCATCAGAATCGAGATAGGGTGGGTGGGCGGGGCTTATACTCTGCCATTTTTTTTTCTTAACATACATAGCCACGTTTTCACAACAAGAAACTTAGAACATGGTCAAAATGGTACATTTTTGCAAGTAAATGTGGATTTTGCAATTATGGGGCGAAACCTAATTGCAAATTTGATGTTTCCTTATACAAATTTTCCATTTTAAACATGTTGTAAGTTTCATGTTGTGGAAAGAAGTCTACACATATTAAAACATAAAAGCAAAATGTAAGCCCGCCCACCCGCCCTATCTCAATTGTGATGATTTTTTTTATTCGCCGTTAACCAAGGGGGCGGAGTTTAACTGCAAAATACTTATTTCTTTACAAGAAATTAAAACATGTGTTTGAGTATCGTGTTGTTCAAAAAATACTATGTATATTAAGAAAAAAAGACAAAATATAAACCCCGCCCACCCACCCCATCTCAATTGTAATGATTTTTTTTATTGTTAGAAACTTGAAACGCGTTTAAAATGGCAAATTTTTGTAAGGAAACATGGATTTTGTAATTAGGCTCCGCCCCTAGGTCTGCCAACGAATGAAAACTTCATTACCATTTAGATCAGGGCAGGTATTGGTGACCCTTTACTTTTTTCTTAATATACATGGTATTCTTTGAATAACACGATACTCAAAAACATGTGTTTTTAATTTCTCGTAGAGAAAAAGGATTTTGCAGTTAAGCTCCGCCCCCTTGGCTCACGACGAATAAAATAAATCATCACAATAGAGATAGGGTGGGTGGGCGGGCCTCCATTTTACCTTTCTTTTTTAATAGGTGTAGACTTATTTCGACAACAAAAAACTAAAAATGTCTAAAATGGTAAATTTTTGTAATAATCAACTTAAATCGTCCACTTTTCAGCTCTAAAAGCAACCTCAGCGGGAATTTCAACGTCAACAGCAAGTTTATAAATCTCACTTTATTAAAAAATAGATTTTTCGGCGAAATTGCCTAAAACAAAAAACAATGGGTTATGAATGTCTGAAAATGATTCAATTGCGGTTTTAGAAAAAAATGCGGGAATTATTGAAGAAATGAATTTGAAAGATTTGGAGGTCAAATGAAAACAATCTTTTTTGGTAATTTTCGATGGTGGTCAGGGAAACGTCAAAAATGTCTTACGGAATCATAAAAAAAACGACTTTTTGGCGAATTTGACTAAAAAACAATAAAAAAATTCTGGGTTATAGACAGTCCGGGATCAAAATTTCTAAATTTCTAAAGTATCGCAAAAATGATTATATTTGTGTTTGATTAGCAACAACAATGAAAATTTGTTACCCATTGTATTAATAAAATCGGTAAATAATTAATAAAGTTGTAACTACCGTACTAAAAAATAAAGTACTCGAACGCAACTAAATTTCACCTTGAAGTTTTACTCTAAAGTTAAAAAATATCGAAAACACGTAAATCGTTAAACCCTTATCTCAATAAATTACATCAAATAACTTAGTAACACGTTTCTTATCAAAAGACTTCAATAAAAATTCGAAATTTACTCATTGGCGTGAGTCACTTATCTCGTATCTCTTATTTACAACTTTCCTCCCTTATTATTGGCTTTAGGGGTCAAGGGGCGAAAATACGTCCTCCGAAAAAAAAAAAATCAAAGAAAGGGTTCTACCACTCACCAAGGGCGTGACTAGCAAGGGTCAAAACCGTCAGCCAGTGCGCCGCGTCCATCGTGGGCGCCACCTCCACAGACCCCGTAAGACAGTGCTCCATATCATCCTCCACATCCGCCAGTTGTTCAATCAGCAACTGCTTCAACAAAGTCTGGGCAGCTGTAACCGCTTCCTGCTTATAAGTCTCCAAAAACTGTAAGTGGTTCTGCCGCAACAACCCCGCCACCAGACTGACGAGCCGCTCCTGGTCCAACACCCCGCCGTTCGCATCCAGCGGCCTGTGCAAATCCGCCGCCGCGTACCTCTCAAACTCCGTACTAAGCATCTTATCAATAAGCTTTGACATCTCCTTCAGCTGCGACGGCAAATGCCTCAAACTCGTCACCCCAGCCAACTCCTTCGAGAGAACTTCCTGCGTGCTCGAAATGAGCTCCAGCGCCGCCACGTAATCCGACGAACTCAAAAGCAGCTGAAGAGTAGGCTGCGTCTGCAGCACTGTAGCCATTAATTTTAATTTGTCCACAAGTTTCACGTGGTTGTTCTTGGACCTAGCCAACCCGATCAGTTTTAGCGAATCCTTGGCTAGAGTTTTGTCGACTTTTTGTACTTTCGAGCGCAGGGTTTTCACTTCATTCGAGGCCACTCCCATTTGTTCCATGATGGTGTCGTGCGAAGTCATGGCGTGGAAAAACGCGTCGGATTTCTGCGACACCTGCTTGGCGATTTGCACCTCAACTATGTCCAAGTAGTGGCTCAGTTCTTCCTGGAGGAGGTGATCTTGGTTCCTGTCGTTCCCGCGGAACACCTGCGAGAAAACCGCCGGGTCGTTCAGCGGGAAACTCTGGCGCAGGAAAATCTCGGGGACGCTTTCCACGCTCACTTCGCCGTTTACTAGCTCGTTCTTGCGGGCTTTCACGTGGTTGGCCTCGAGTTTGGTCTGCGCGAAGCGCACATGCCGCTTGTAGCGCTTTCCGATTTTGCGAAAGTAGCTGTCGAAGTGAGAGTAGTTGATTTCGGGGAGGAAGGGGCTCTTCTCGATGTGGCTCTTCTCCACGAACGCGTCGCCCCATGTCTTGACGAAGAAGTTTGACTGCTTGCCACGATTGGGGTCGTTGAGAACGGCTGGAAGGTTTTGAGCAGCGGAATAAATGGACCACTGCTCGGCAGCTGGCGTCATATCAGTCATATATGTGACGTACTACCTGGTCTTGTATTTCTTCATTTCGGGAACGTATTGCTAACTGGGAGACACTTTCATCAGGTGATAAGGACACGGTTCTTACGATTCATGTTTGATGGGTTGGACGAACAAAAAATCGAACTGTCAAGCAAACGTCAAAAAACAGGGCTGCCACACGCAACATGCGGAGCACACGAGGCGAATTGCTGGTTGCATAACTTACAAATTACGACAACCAGCTCCAGGCGCTGGAATTTCATTTGTGTTTTATTATTTTAAAATAGAAAAGAGGAAACGATTCTTACCCAGAGCATCTAACATTCATACAACCTCTTCCACAACTTTGTTAGAGTGTTAGAACTCGTCACTGCTCACAGACTTTATAATACTCGTTCTTACAAATGAAACTGAAGCTAAAATAGTTGTTAAAATATGCCAAACAATCACTTTCTGCACAAGACGGGACTCAATTACACTTTTGCGGAAGTTTGGTTTCGAGTTATGCGAAAAGTGGGTTACCAGCTCTCACAGTGAATGCAAGTTTCTAAAAAAGAATGATAAGTGATTAGACAAAATTCGCTAATAGCTAACTTTTATGCATCTTTCGTTTTCCAGTGGGCCCCAAGACAGACTACTTTTTTTTATACAATTATTAGGATTTTTCACATATGCAGGATGTTACAATTACAAATGCAATAATTATTCCTAAAAATATAACAGACACATACAAAACGATGCAAATAGATATTAAATATGTGCATCTTTTTATTTTCAGAGCGTAAATTCAGTACGAAACAATAAGTCGCGCGTTTCCGTCTATCTGTCTGTCTACCGTCTGTCTATGTGTACGAATATCGTGTCGATGATCAAAATTTGACTAATCATCCCCACCTACAATTTCTTGACGTCATCAAAAAAATCAAAATCACATCTTCAAATAGAAAAAATTGAAATTCAAAAATTTTTAAATTTTAAAAATGGACAATCCGAAATGTCGATAAATCGTAAATAAGAAAAATCAAAAAATTGAAACGGGAAATCGAAAGATCAAAAAATTGTAAAATCGAAAGACCGAAAAATTTAAGAAATCGAAAAATAGAAAAATTGAAAAATCAAAACAAAACGAGAAAGCGAATAATCCAACTTTTAAAAAACCCAAATTCAAAAATCAAATACCTAATTGGAGGATCGAAAAAATGAAAAAAAATAAATTGATAAAAATCCTAAAACAGAAATATCAAGTACTAGCCCCGCCCACCCGCCCTCTATTTTCTTAGAGAGTATGTCCGCAAAAATCAGTCTTATTAGCACTTTTGGCAATTTCCACCATTTTTCAATTATTTCCGAAAATTAGTTGCACGTTTTCTTGTCGATTTCGATATCCAAAAGTCATTTTTAGCTTCGATTCTTGGAAAATTCCTACCGTTTTTCGAAAATCGACAATTGAAATAAAGCTGTTTTAAAGATTATTGTTTTTTTTTTACTTTTTCACATCCTAGATTGTATTAATTTCCAATCCCACTCGAAGGAGAAAATAATTAGCCCCGCCCACCCACCCTGTCTCTTTTTCAGTGATTGATTTCATCTGATCCGAATGAAATGAATGATCTTACAAATAAAATTAGTCGTTAGAATGAGAAGAGGGGGGCGATGGCTAATTCTTGCTAAGATAAGACTGATTTTGGCAAATGACATTTCCTCCAAGAAAACAGTGGGCGGGGCTAATATTGATAAGAAAAGACTGATTTTGGCACTTTTGACATTTTCCACCATTTTTCAACTATTTCCGAAGATTAGTTGAAGACATTTTCTTGTACATTTCGATATCCAAAAATCATTTTCGGCTGCGTTTCTTTGAAAATTCCTACAGTTTTTCGAAATTCGCCAATTGAAATACACCTATTTTAAAGATTTGCGTTTTTTTTTACTTTGTTCACATACTAGATTCCATTATAAATTGCCACTCCCACTAGACACAAGAAAATAATTAACCCCGCCCACCCACCCTGTCGCCTTTTCAGTGATAAATTTCAGCTGATTTGAATGAAATGAGTGATTTTATCCTGAACAAAAATAAAATTAGTCGTTGGAATGAGAAGACGGGTGGGTGGGTGAGGCTAGTACTTGCTAAGATAAGATTGATTTTGGCAAATGACATATTCTTAAAAAAAATAGAGGGTGGGTGGGCGGGGCTAGTATTTATAAGATAAGACTTGTTTGGCACTTTTGACATTTTCCACGATTTTTCAACCATTTCCGAAAATTAGTTGAAGACATTTACTTGTACATTTTGAAATCCAGAAGTCACTTTCCGCTTCACTTTTTCGGAAATTCCTACCGTTTTTCGAAAATCACCAACTGATATACAACTATTTTAAAGATTAGAGTTTTTTCAATTTTTTCACATCCTAGATTCTATTATTAATTGCCACTCCCACTCGACAGAAGAAAATAATTTGCCCCGCCCACCCACCCTGTCTCCTTTTCAGTGATTGGTTTCATCTGATATGAATGAAATGAATCATCTTATACGGAACAAAATAAAATTAGTCGTTAGAATGAAAAGACGGGTGGGTGGGTGGGGCTAGTATTTGCTAATATACGACTGATTTTGACAAATGACATGTCCTCATAACATGTTCAAATTGAAAAAATCGAAATTCAAAAATTTTTAAATCTTAAAAATGGACAATACGAAATGTCGATGAATCGGAAATCGAAAAATCAAAGAATTGTAAAAGCGAAAGACTGAAAAATTTTAGAAATCGAAAAATTGAAAAATCAAAGAAAAAAACGAGAAAGCGAATCATGCAACATTTAAATAATCCAAATTGAAGAATCTTAAAACTGAAATGTCGAGGAATTGAAAATTGAAAGAGTCCAAAGGAAAAATTAAAAATTGAAAACTCCGTAAATCGAAAAATTGAAAAATCCGTAAATCGAAAATTCAAAAAATGGATGTCGAAAAATGGAAAGATTGAGAAATTGAGAAACGGAGAAAGCAATTAAAGATTCGAAAAACAGAAATAGCAAGTACTAACATAATTTGCCCCACCCACCCACCCTGTCTCCTTTTCCGTGATCTTATATTGTGGGTGGGTGGGGCTAGTACTTACTAAGATAAGACTGATTTTGGCAAATGACATATCCTCCAAGAAAACAGAGGGTGGGTGGGCGGGGCTAATATTGATAAGATAAGATTGATTTTGGCATTTTTGACATTTTACACCATTTTTCAACTATTTCCTGAAAATTAGTTGAAGACAATTTCTTGTACATTTCGATATCCAAAAATCATTTTCGGCTGCGTTTCTTTGAAAATTGCTACAGTTTTTCGAAATTCACCAATTGAAATACACCTATTTTAACGATTTGCGCTTTTTCTTACTTTGTTCACATCCTAGATTCCATTATCAATTGCCACTCCCACTCGACAGAAGAAAATAATTAGCCCCGCCCACCCTCCCTGTCGCCTTTTCAGTGATTGATTTCAGCTGATTTGAATGAAATGGGTGATCTTATCCTCAACAGAAATAAAATTAGTCGTTAGAATGAGAAGACGGGTGGGTGGGTGGGGCTAATACTTGCTAAGATAAGACTAATTTTGGCAAATCACATATCCTCCAAGAAAACAGAGGGTGGGTGGGCGGGGCTAATATTGATAAGAAAAGACTGATTTTGGCATTTTTGACATTTTACACCATTTTTCAACTATTTCCGAAGATTAGTTGAAGACATTTTCTTGTACATTTCGATATCCAAAAATCATTTTCGGCTGCGTTTCTTTGAAAATTCCTACAGTTTTTTGAAATTCACCAATTGAAATACACCTACTTTAAAGAATTGCGCTTTTTTTACTTTGTTCACATACTAGATTCCATTATAAATTGCCACTCCCAGTAGACAGAAGAAAATAATTAGCCCCGCCCACCCACCCTGTCGCCTTTTCAGTGATTAGTTTCAGCTGATTTAAATGAAATGAGTGATCTTATCCTGAACAAAAATAAAATTAGTCGTTGGAATGAAAAGACGGGTGGGTGGGTGGGGCTAGTACTTGCTAAGATAAGACTGATTTTGGCAAATGACATATTCTTAAAAAAATAGAGGGTGGGTGGGCGGGGCTAGTATTGATAAGATAAGACTTATTTGGCACTTTTGACATTTTCCACGATTTTTCAACCATTTCCGAAAATTAGTTGAAGACATTTACTTGTACATTTTGAAATCCAGAAGTCACTTTCCGCTTCCCTTTTTCGGAAATTCCTACCATTTTTCGAAAATCGCCAATTGATATGCAGCTATTCTAAAGATTGGCGTTTCTTTTTTACTTTTTTCACATCTTAGATTCTATTAATTTCCACTCCCACTTGACAGAAGAAAATAATTAGCCCCGCCCACCCACCCTGTCTCCTTTTCAGTGATTAATTTCAGCTGATCTGAATGAAATGAATCATCTTATCCTGAACAAAAGTAAAATTAGTCGTTAGAATGAGAAAACGGGTGGGTGGGTGGGGCTAGTATTAGCTAAGATAAGGCTGATTTTGGCAAAATGACATGTCCTCATAATACGTTCAAATCGAAAAAAATCGAAATTCAAAAATTTTTAAATTTTAAAAATGGACAATCCGAAATGTCGATTAATCGGAAATAAGAAAAATAAAAAAATTGAAACAGGTATTAAACAATTTTAAAATCAGGAAATCAGAAAACTGTAAAATCGAAAGACTGAAAAATTTAAGAAATCGAAAAATTGAAAAATCAAAGAAAAAAACGAGAAAGCGAATAATGCAACATTTAAAAAATCCAAATTGAAAAATCCTAAAACTGAAATGTCGAAGAATTGAAAATTGAAATAGTCCAAAGGAAAAATCGAAAAATTGAAAATTTTAAAAATTGAGACGTCGCAAAATGGAAAGATCAAGAAATTGACAAATCGAGAAAGCAATTAAAAATTCGAAAAACAGAAATTGCTAGTACTAATATAATTTGCCCCGCCCACCCACCCTGTCTCCTTTTCAGTGATTCATTTCATCTGATCTGAATGAAATGAATGATCTTCTACTGAACAGAAATAAAATTAGTCGTTGGAATGAGAAGACGGGTGGGTGGGTGAGGCTAGTACTTGCTAAGATAAGATTGATTTTGGCAAATGACATATTCTTAAAAAAAAAGGGTGGGTGGGCGGGGCTAGTATTGATAAGATAAGACTTATTTGGCACTTTTGACATTTTCCACGATTTTTCAACCATTTCCGAAAATTAATTGAAGACATTTACTTGTACATTTTGAAATCCAGAAGTCACTTTCCGCTTCCCTTTTTCGGAAATTCCTACCGTTTTTCGAAAATCGCCAATTGATATGCAGCTATTCTAAAGATTGGCGTTTCTTTTTTACTTTTTTCACATCTTAGATTCTATTAATTTCCACTCCCAC